AAACATCTTACTCATGTTATATCTGCTGTTGGTCTTATAAGAGGCATATGTGATTTTGCTGTAGATTAAATGTTACATGCAGCAACTGCTTCGTGGCCTTGAACACTGCCATAGCCGTGGTGTCCTGCACAGAGACATCAAGGGTTCAAATCTTCTGATTGACAACAGTGGAGTTCTTAAAATTGCAGATTTTGGTCTGGCGACCTTTTTTCAGCCTGATCAAAAGCAGCCACTAACAAGTCGTGTTGTAACTCTATGGTACAGGGCGCCTGAGCTTTTGTTTGGGGCCACTGAATATGGAGTTGCTATAGATTTGTGGAGTGCTGGTTGCATCCTTGCAGAATTGTTTGCTGGGAAGCCTATTATGCCTGGAAGAACAGAGGTACTCTCTCATGTGTTTGAATATGACTGCAAAAACTGATTCTTCATACTGCTGCAAATGCACTTTCAATTTGCTTTTTGTCTCTTCTGAAGAAGAGTGCTAACAGACTGAAAGAGTACAAAGAAAAAGGCGTCGGGCTTACAATGAAAGGAAAGAAATTATATAAGAGAATGATAATAACAACTTTAGCTTTGACGACAATAGATTTATTATGTGTCAAAATTTTCTGTGTCTTTGCAATTACCTGCAAAGAATCACTCTAGTGATAATAAATAGATAAATAGAATAGTGTGTATTCTTTAGCTTGCTTCTTTAATACTTAATATGAATATCTTGGGTTGCTTTAGTTATTGCTTAAATGTCAAAAGTGTAGAATGCAGAAAAGTGAAACCGTCTCCAATGTTTTGATGAAAAACCCCATTTCTGAACGACTGAACTTGAGCTGTCCTTAAAACCTTGACTGAAATCATAACGGTTCTCCAATATAAACCAACTTCCACTGACCACACTCCATTTATGACTTATTTTCTTTTCGTTTAGTTTCCATGTACTTATTTTCAACTTTTCTCTCTGGGTTTGTCCTACAACTTCGTGTTAAACAAGGCTATTGAGTGCGTATAACACTAATGCACACTGTTTAAAACCATCACCTAAGATCATTTTTTGGAGCTTCCGTTTCTTTAGGTCCTGTACTCGCATATTGATGTTTGTGCTGCTTATCTACACAAAAAAGTTATTCCCATTAACCATGCATTTAACCTAGTGAGGCTCCAGTAGATAAGAGTGATGTGTTGTGAGGAGAGAAACAAAGAAAGTTAGAGCTAGGATAAAGATTCGATTGGTTGGAGTAGACAAGGTTTTTAGTCTGTCAAGAAGTATAGCTTAGATTGAGTTGAATGGAGAGAAAAGAATTCATGTAGCCAGCCCTTCAAGTTGGAAATTAAGGGTTAGTTGATAAGAGTGTGCTTATCCTAGTTAGAAGTATTTTCTTTAGATAAATTAGTTTTCCTAAAAGATTCATATATCTATTCATAATTTTCAATGTTTCTTTGGTGATTACATTTTTTTGCATTTTCTGATAATTTCCAGGTGGAGCAAATACATAAGATTTTTAAGCTCTGTGGTTCGCCCTCTGAGGAGTACTGGCAGAAAATAAAACTGCCACAGGCAACTAGTTTCAAACCTCAACAACCTTACAAGCGCTGTGTTGCTGACACTTTCAGAAACTTCCCTTGTTCAGCTTTGTCTCTCGTTGATAAACTCCTTGCAATGGAACCACAGGATCGAGGATCTGCTGCTTCAGCCCTTAGAAGTGAGGTACTTGGACAACCAGCTTGATGTGAATCTTAACCTTGTGCCACACTGTTGGATAGATTGCGTGAATCATCACTTCGAATTTCCTACACATTTTTACTATTTTGCTCTTTTTTTTTTTGTTCAGTTCTTCAGAACAGAGCCTTTCCCTTGTGATCCATCAAATTTGCCAAAATATCCTCCTAGCAAGGAGCTAGATGCCAGACGTCGTGAGGAAGAAGCAAGAAGGTACACTATTTGAGGCCTTCTTCGTTGTTGCTCTTCAATAGATCTCACCCTTTAGGAAACCCATGCATGCACAAACACATGCTATGCTAGGTAGTCATGTGTGCTCATAAAACAAAATACCGGTTACAAATGAAATTGGCAGAAAAAAAATAGCAAAAGAAAATCATATCAATTAGTTTGGTCTCATGTATAACTAAGAATGTTTGTGAGATGAAAATTTTAATAGCTGTGGATTGCAAAATGGTTAATAATATTGGAAGTAGCCTGAATATAAGGAAAATATATTTACTTGCTAGCTTATCCTTATCATTGTATACCCTGTATGTGTGTCATATACTACAAGTCTCAATACCACTGGCTTAACTATATAGTCTTAAGATGCATCTATCCCATGCTGATAAAATCCTAAGTATGAAAAGGCATGAATAATGAGATGATCAGCCATACTTTTCTCTTTTTCATCTCTGGAAAATTGTTGAACCCTCTTATTAATCCTGCATAATCTCTTGTAACTTTCAGGAAAAGAGCAGAGGCTGTAAAGGGGCGTGGACCTGAATCTGTTAGAAGAGGTTCAAGAGAATTTAAGGGAGAGCCTACACCAGAATTCATTGCTCAGGGACAGTCAAAAACAAGAACCAGTCATATATATGACCATGTTGAGGATGGTGCCTCTGGCTTCCGAATTGATCCACACAAGGTCACTTCGCAAAATGGTTTATGTCATTCTTCTTCAATGATCCACCCTAGTGCAGTACAATCATTGAATAAGGCAGGTTCTACACAGACTAGTGGCGAGTTGAGGACACGGAATTCACTAAGACCTCAGGCAGATAACACTTCTCATACGAAAGATGATAGTGCGTCGAACAAAGAAACTGGATTGGTAAATCAACTAACTGTTTCTGCCTATATTCCTTCCTCTAACTATTACTGGTATTTTCTAAACCATCATCATTTTTTGGTCAGATCATCAAAACCATCATCACATACATTGAATAAATGTATTCATATTCTATATTGCTAAACCACATACCAGTTATAATTAGAGGCTTATCATATTCTGTGCATCAGATATGTGAGGCTTATTATACTTCAGTTCTGAGGACATGGGAGTGAAGGGCAATAATCTGACATGTTCAGACAAGTTAAGCATAACATTAGGCTGCAAATACTCATTTTCTGATGGAAATGTCCTACAAATGTATGTTTTAAAATGAAATGGTTGAATCCAAGTCAGAGACCATGTCATTTCATGTACACCTGCAAGGGACTGAGCATCATTTGAAAATAAATCTGCATATTAACCTGACAAAACTCAACACAGCAAATTTGTACAATAAACTGAGATCATGAGACAGATTGCAGATTTTAAGGTTCTATAGATTACGAACAGTGTTGGTTTATTTTCCCCTATCTGATAGGATTATCTTCAGTAAAGTTACTTGGTTTACCACATTATATCTTTCTGATGCTCTCTTTCTTGCTTTCTTTTTCCTTATACTGATGGATTTTCTCTTGTAATATTAAAACATTCTTCAACTTTTCTCTCCCTATGCTATTGCAGGGTCATGTAGCAAGGAAAAACAGGATCCACTGCTCTGGGCCGTTGATGCCTCCTGGGGGAAACATTGAAGATATACTTAAAGAGCATGAGAGACAAGTCCAGCAGGCTGTACGGAAAGCACGTCTTGAGAAGTCAGGAACCGATAAAAATTGCGATGTATATACTAGGCTGCATCATAATGGAATATATGGACGATGATCATTAAAGATGTTTTGCTCCTGCTTCCTTGTGGGACAAGTGAGAAACTTGCTCCAAGCAAGCTTTCCGACTGTTCTCACTGCCAAATGCAAGTTGCACCCTTGTAATCTTATTTGTTCATGGCCACAACAGACTGAGATTGAGATGGTATACTGAATTGGGGCCGTGAGCACTTTGTATTTCGTGAGATTCTTTGAAAGTTGGAGCAAAATTTTCAGCATGTAACCAGGCAGGAGTTCGCTTTGTATAGTTGGATGGGGTTTTCGATTGGAAGCTAATCTTCCTTCTGTGTACACTGTTCTTCCCAAGATTCACTGTATCTAAAAGATATCACACTTTTTTGGCTTCCATTTTGTTTGATAAACCCTTAAAATGCTATCACAAACTGCGAGGAGGTGCATGAAAGTAGCCAGAAGAAACAGCTAAATGGTCTGTCTGTAAACTGAAGGTCGAGTATTTTTAGTGTTAAATTTGAAACTACACAATGGATTAGATATCTTAAAAGGGAAGCCCTCAAACATGAATATCTCAATTGCAAGAAGCCAAGAATTGTAAAAACACGAGAATCTCAAACCACTACCTGGATTTACTTCTGATCCCCATCAATGAAAGCAAGGAGAAGAACAATGCCTTGGTAGCTAATTGATTTATCAACCTACCGTTGAGTATCGATAACCTGATGCACTACTCAAAGTGGTGGATGCAGAGAAATGGTTGCATCACCAGATTAGCAAAGATCATTTCAGACCGTTAGGGGACCAATAGTTCTAGACACTGGGCATCCATCAGGATAAATTTCTCCAGAAAACAGAATGCAAAGATGAGATCAGGATAGATTTACTTGGAGAACAAAATCGCATTCCTTGTAGCTAATTTAATATTACTTTCAAAGATGCAGAAAAATAGTTCTGAATGGTTAGGGTAAAATTCTGAGATGGTACGGAGACCATATCTTCCGCTAACCTGCTTCATCATTAGCCTTTTGCAGCCCCTACAATGAAAGGATCCCTGTTCATCTATAGCACGAGGAAGATTCCAAGCATCCTCTTACTCCGTCGTATCTTTGTTTCTGCAGGACTAGCGAGCAAGAAGTTGCAGTTTTTCTTTCTTCTGCTAAAAAGAACTAACTCTTTATCATCCTCTAATAAGCTGATTTGAAGAGGAAGGGCTCATCACATTGTGAAATACTGAAACACGAATTTGATTACACTACTTCGTGCCAACAAGTTATAGGCGTATTATTACAAATATTACTACCAGCAGATTCATCGAGGAAAAAAGGGGACAAAAGCAGAGAGAGAGAGAAAGAGAACAGAAGAAAAGAAGAATGAAAAGTTCTATTGACTAAAATAGCCAGTTAATTTTCTGTACATTTGGTTTCATAAATACCTACACATCAAGATACATCAGGATTCATGTCTTAATTCTATAATCACCCATTACCTGTAGGCAACTATATGTCTTGCTTAGGCTTCCGGCTCAATTCTGAGTAATGACCACCCATTTCCTGCAAAATCTCCTTCCACAAACTTTCTGACCAAGAGTCTGATAAATCTCCAAAAATCAGATTTGGGCTACATGCAGCCACATACCAATAATCTGATTCAATTTCCTCTCTCAACTGATCCAGCTGCCAGCCAGCATAACCAACAAAGAACTTGAAATCCTGAGACTTTAGCACTCCTCTCTTCACCAGCTCTGCAGCTTCATCTAAACTGTTTCGAGCACCAAAACAGAGGCCAGGAATCACCTCTTCAAACCCAGGAAACTCTGACTTTTTTCCCACTTTTAACAGAAACATACTCGCGTCAAGAGGCCCCCCAAAGTGCAAAGAACAGTCAGAAAAAGTAGTAGTTAATTCATTATTAGTGGATTTCATGTGTTTGATCTTCTTGTGAAGTGGGCGATTAATTACAACACCAAATGGCCCCTCTTGTGGATGTCTGGTTCCAGATCTCAGAAGGAGAACAACCGTTCGTTCAAAGGTGCGAACTCCATCAAGCTTCTCGGTGGCAACAAGAACACAACCAGTCTCAGGCACTGAAAGAGGATGGGCCCATTTTGAGCCAAGAGGTTTCGACACATGAGGCGCCCCGCCTTGTTTGTGAGCATCAGACTCTGCCTTCTCTACCTGTTAAAAGTTATATAAAGGTTTAGTGTTTCTACAAAGCAAGAATTTCAAATCTTTCTACATGTTGGTTGTAATTCTTCTTATGTTCCTAAAAAGTCAACTGATGTGGAGGAATGGATAGTATAGCCAGCATCTCAACAAAGGAAAAGTTAACCTTCTTTTTTCTAATTCCTTTGTCCGCGTTACTGTGGGAGAACGAAATCGAACCTGAATACCAGCTAAGATTGATGAAAGATAATCTACTGTCACAGAAACTAAAAACTACCATTACCCCAACAATTAAGTATGAATATTAGGCTTCCAAATGCAGTATAACCAAAGGAGAAAGTGATAAAAAGCAACAGAGAATTTACCAATATGACCAGATTCAACTTCAGGTATAAGAAATTAGAGTACATCAGTATCAATGTAGTAGAAGGTACAAAGCAAACTCTAGGCACTAGGACCCTTACAAGGCATGATAAAAGCACTTGTGCAAGTAAAGAAAGGAACTAATTTTTAAAAGATAATTAATAAAAAATAAAAAGAAGCAAGCCTAGGCACAAAAGGCACGCATCTGATCAAAGGCACCTAGGCCTTTGGGGTACAAGGCGCATTATTTGATTTACACTGCACCTTAACGCCTAGGCGCACACCTTTACAACACTAATCTGTATCTCCAAAACAATAACGAAAAGTACTTTGTTAAAAATTTTATTTGGATGGTCAAAATTTACTTTCTTTTTCCCCATTATTGCTAATGTCCTAATTTAGGGATAGAATATCTAAAACTTTGCTTCATGAAATCCTCATGTAGTTCTAGCCATGTCCAAAATCAACTGTAGGTTTGAGAAGTTAGACTCCATTTGTATGACAGAAACAAAGACGGGCACAATATTGTTAAGATTTACAAAAATGTATATATTTAAATAGTCACATTTCTACTTTCTTTGGCCCCAAATATTTCCAAGGTCCCAATTGGGGAATTCAAGATCTAAAAAATTTGCTATGTAATCCAGTCATGACCAACAACCAAGAAGGGCCATAAAAGGGAAGCTATTGAAATTAAACTTTCTAGGGATCTTGAGATCCATACCAGAAAACTGTATGATAAACAGAATAGAAGGGAAGAAATAAGAACCGTCCAAACAATTATACCCCTCAATTATTGGAGAAGAAGCAGGTACATAAGTCTGGGGAGAAAATTATCACCTGGTAATTATTATATAACATAGCTCTGAACTCTCTCCAATCTGTGTTTGAATGATGGGACTTCTGGGAAGCAGAGTCATCTGATTCATTGCTGTCCGAAGAATTGTTTCTTCTTGAACTGTCTCTATCAGGAATAGATTGATCACCATTTCCTGGATTCATTATCACAAACATTCCAAAACTATGTTCAATTCAAGTTGAGGGAACTCTGAAATGCCAATTTAAGTATCAATATCGTACACCAGCTAAGCTAAAACTGGAACAAGCAAGGAAACAAGAGACGAGAAACAGAGAGGGACCAAAGGAATAATATAAGGATAAAATCTAAGAAAACGTTTTGAGCACCATATAAACAAATAACAAAGCTATCTCAATTCCTAAGAACCCCTACCATAAAGTATGCTCTAGTACGTCACTCTAAGAGCATCCACAGTCTAAAGGAATTTTTGCTGTTGGTTGTGAGTTTTTATTTCATTTTTCATCTATTCTATTAATACCCTTCTCACTAACCTTTTCTCTTGTACCATTTTTATGACCTTTCGCTGATTTTAGAAGATATAAAGAAAGGTGGAAAAACTAAAGAAAAAAGAAAAAGAATTGATACACTAACTTCCTACATGATTCATTGTAGAGATAGTGACTTTAAGATTCATCAAGAAAAGCAAATGCCCAGTGTCTATTTTCATACAAACTAATATGCAAGAAAACAGTTTACACCTTGTTTTTGAAACACAAGCAGAATGTATAAAACAAACAGCTTGGTTTTCACACAAAGTAATATGCAAGAAAACACTTTACACCTTGATTTTGAAACACAAGCAGAATGTATAAAACAAACAGCTTGGAGGAAGCATTTGGCTCAAAAATCTACAAGGAGCTTCCCTAGTATTTTTCCCATGAGGTGTCAATCACATCGCCACCAACCAATTGGAGGGATAGAGAGATCTAAGATAGCAATCTTTAATTTGGAAAGATCATACAAGCAAGAAAGATAAAATTCAAAAGCCCACTGTCATTATCAAGATCCTTTCTCAGAAAATCATTTCATCAAATCCCACCAATAACAAACCTTGTTGGATTATTCATCCTGCCCAGTGTCTTAGCAAGACAGTATATAGTGGAATGCTAGCCCATCTTGTATGAAATGGAGACACTAAGAACAAAGGCACATGCTGTCCCCCTTTGTTAACTAGTTGATTTTCTTTAAAAATTGAAATAACAAATATTCAAGCCCCATTCAGAAAGAACTATAAGGCCAGGATAACTAAACCAAAACAAGCTATAAACCTATAGTCAGTACCAAAACTGCAATCCAAGCTTGAATACCAAAAGACTCCAAAAATCAGGACTAAATAACTTAAAATACAATGCAATTGCATTATCTGTGGCAAGAATAGATATCCCATGGACAAATTTGAATCCCAAGAACCAAAAAGATTTCGCAGTTACGCCTACCACATCAAATTACTCATCTGTTTGAGTTTTACCCTTCTCTGATTTCAACATTACGAAACTAACATCACCCTTCCTTTTCGATCAAAATGGTCAGTCACTGTCCATTACTGTTCAAGATCCCCATACTTGAAAGCAATCATTCTTAAACACGTGTCAGTAACAAGTAGTAGCTTCAGAAACCCACGGATATAAACAAAAATCAAACATAAAACTTATGGGTGCATTCAAGTTTCAACCAAAAAAAAAAAGTCAAAGCCGAGAATTTTTTAATTCAAAAAATAGCAGGCATACCAGATGAAGAAGAAGAGGAAGAGGAATCGTCGTGATTGTTCTTCTTAGCCATGGCTTTAACGGTTAAAGAAGGATGGGCAGATGAGGAAAGGAGTCGCCTCGAAAGCCTGATCTCGAAGACACCGAGTTTTCCAATATTCCAGGAATTGGGTCTTTCAGGAATCGAATTCCTGTTCAACAAGAGAGCCCCAGCAGCAGGATTCCCACAGTTAGTTGCGTTCTTCAAGTGGACTGCCCACAGATCCATTTGTTCTTAAGGGATAAGTCAGCCACTTGATCTCCCCTTTCGAGCTCGGACCCAAACAAACAGTTCCCGTTTGCCCAAACGAAAAATGATGATGAGAAAATCTGCAAACGGATATTATTATGAAAAAAAATAAAAAATATTATATCGAAGGAGAAAAGGAAAAAGAAATTAAGAGAGCACTGAAAAGGACTCCTTGGGAATGCAGAGACAGAGAGAGATAGAGAGAATATGCTTAATTTCAACCGAATTGTTTTATACTGCTGATCATTCGTGGAGTGAGGGTCAGCGCATGTTAGCAACTTTGGCTTGTCTGGGGTGAGGATGGTGTGCGCTGGCGGGTAACGTTCCACTCTTAACTTGCGCATCCAACTTTGGCTTTCTTGGCTGACGGACTCAAAGGAGAGGAAAGTGTGAAGATGGTGACGTTAATTTATGTGTACATTCTAGAAGGATTTGCTCCATTTTAATTCTTTACTTCAAAATTCCCAATTAACATGCTGTCGTACTCGATACTTGTGGTATGATCCTATTTTATTCAATTTGTAATAAAATCGATTCGATTTCGATTTTATCATAGATAATATGTCATTTGGTTCAATGTATGATATTTAGGTAAATTTAATTAAAAAGTTTGTCAAACTTATTATAAATATATATGTGAATATTTATTATATTATAAATATATATTTAGGTTCAGATATAAATTAATTGAGATTAAAATTAAAATTTAATTCATTCAATTTAATCATTTAATTCTTATCTTTTATCTTATAAATTCGAGATAATGAGTTATTAGTTTATAAATATATCCATCATTTCTTTCATAAATACATATTTGAATAAAATATTCTTATTTCCTCTAAACTCTTTTTTTATAGTTATTCTCTCTTTTTTTTATAATTGTTCTTTCAGTTTATATTACATAACACATTATTAGGATGATTTTATAATCAGGATTTTTGTGGTTGGTCTTTGATTTTTGAATTTTAGTAAATTTATGAATTTCAATAGTTGATCTTTGACTTTTAATTTTATCAAATTAGGTAAATGGTTTGATATCATAATGAATCCTGAATGCAATATCATTTAATATTTATAATCATGGATATGGAAGAAGTTGTTATAATAATTTACACTAATCAATATTTTAATTCTAAGAATATATTTACCCACTAAAAGTAAATGGATAATTTTACTCATTAGAAGTTCAGGGATACCCACCAAAATTGGATGGATAAGTTTACCTATTAACCCACTTTTGGAGATATTTAATTTACCAAAAATGGATGCATGAATACTTTTAATCCACTAGAAGTGGATGAATAGTGAAAAAACAAAAATACACAAAATAAAAAGAATATAGAAAATGCTTTGTCATTGATGTGGTTTGAAAGAGAAGACCATTGATCACATACCTGTTGTACGTTGAAACAATCTTCACTAAAAGCTAAAAGAAAAATAAAATTAAAGTAAAAATGATCCAATATGATTTTAATCATGGCCAAGCTGAGATAACAGATCAAGATCCTAATTTTCTTATCCACCGTAAAAAAGGAATTCATCATTTAATTGTTAATGAAAATATCCAAGTATGAATTTTTTTAATAGTTTGTTAGTACATTTTTGTATAATTCTATTATGAAGTTACTTTTATATGTTCTCATTATATTTAAATGATATATTTTTATTGTACGTTTTAATTAGTAAATTATATATCTAATGTTAACTTGCAAGTTTTTTATTATATATGTATTTTATTTTATTGAAAAAAAAATATGAATATTCTTTTGATTGGATCCAAGATCAATAATATAAATATATGTTAGCAGACAATGCTATAACACACACTATATTTAAAGACAAAAAATATTTTTTTTCACTTGACAATAAAAAAATCAATGTCAACACAATATCCAATAGTACAAAATTAATTAAAAATTTTGAAGGAGCTAACATTTTACTATTCGAAGAAACAAATTTCATAATAAAGGAGGATGGATTATTTTCTACTAAGTCTCAAAGAAATTTATTATATTTTAAAGATATTCGTGTAAATAAATATTATATTGAGACAATAAATGCAAGAGAGACTATTAAGTATGAGTTGAAAGAATTACCTGCTTTGTTCATTGAATTGTATTACTAAAACATTAGAATGATTGAAACTCATAACGAACTAGAAGATTACTAATGATTTTAATGTTTAGTATGACTGGTTGAATCATTTCGGATCAGTAATGATGCAAAAAATTATTAAAAATTCATGTGGGCATTCACAAAAAAATCAAAAGATTTTTTAATCTGATGAATTTTCATTCGTTGCTTGCTTTAAAAGTAAATTAATTATAAGACCATCACCAGTTAAAATTAAGACTAAATTCCTTACATTTTTTAAACGTATTCAGAGTAATATATGTGGACCTAAACATCCACCATGTGAACCATTTATATATTTATGACTTTAATCAATGCAACAATTAAATGGTCACATGTGTGCTTATTATCAACTTACAATTTAACATTTGCAACTTACCCCAATCATTCATTTGCAAGTACATTTTTTTTTTGGCAATGCTAGTAAATTTATATCTCAAGCTTTTAATGAATATTGCATATTAGATAGAATAACTATTGAATAACTATTGAATAGTTTGTTGCTCATATTTATACAAAAAAGTTCTAATAATATCGTTTATTAAATACTTCAAATTGATTGCAATATTATTACTTATGAAATCTAAATTCTTAATTTTTGCTTTGGGGCATGTTATTTGCAAACAAAAGTACTTGTGCTCGTTAGGCCAATGAGTTATCATCAACTCTCTCCTATACAATTGGTTTTGATCAGGAATCAAATATTTTTCGTTTAAGAATCTTTAGATATGTGGTATATGTTCCAAGTACTCAACCACAACACACTAAGATAGGTCTTTAAAAGAGATTAGGATTATATGTTGGATACAAATCTCCATCTATAATTAAATATCTAGAACCATTAATATGAGATTTATTCATGACAAGATTTATCGATTGTAATTTTGATGAAATAGTTTTTCCAACATAAGAGGGAAAAAATAAACAGCTAAAACAAGAAATTTATCGGAATGTATTATCATTATTTAATTTTTATCATCGCACAAATCAATGTAAACTTAAAGTTCAAAAGATAATTCATTTGTAAAATATAGCAAATCAGTTGTCAGACATATTTACTGATCTAAAGAAAATAACTAAATCTCATGTACCAACTGAAAATGGTTTTATATTGATTTTCTTGTTGGACAAGGCACGCTAGAAGCGTGAGAAATCAATCAATTCTAAAGATAAAATTTTCAAAAAAAAAAAAAGAAAATATTCAATATGGTCCAAAAAGAAGAAATAGAAGCTCTAGAAAAGACCCCTGACATATTTAATAAAATTTTAAAAGAAATTTAGGTATTTGAAATCATTAAAAATAAAGAGATCTCGATAAATTATGTAATGATGGGAAAAGATGGAAACAGAATTAAATAAACATTGATGATATTTTTGTATATAATATAGCACTCAATATTATGAAAGAAAAACGAGGATCTTAAACTTATATTTATTGAAGAATGTAGACATAGAAATGATTGACCAATGTGAAACGAAGCAATCAAGGTGGAATTGAATTCACTTGCAAAACGTGAAATTTTTAGACCTATAGTCCATATAACAATTGGCATAAAACGAATGAGATATAAATGGGTACTTGTGCAAAACGAAATGAGAAAAATTAGGTTGTGAGATATAAAGCATGGCTTGTTACATAAGGTTTTACCCAAATACCTGATATTGATTATAAAAAGAAATATTCTTTTATGATGGATGCAATTACATTTCTATATTTATTAGTCTACCAATACATGAGAAAATTACAACGGGTCTAATGAATGTAGCTACAGTCTATTTATATGGCTCATTTGATATCCATATGAAAATCCCTAAAAGATTTAAATTACTTGAAGCACACAATTCCTGAGAAATTTGTTTGATAAAATTAAATAAATATATATATATGAATTAAAGCAATTCGGGTGCTTGTGGTATAACTGCCTTAGTGAATATTTGTTAAAAGAAAGTTATAAAAAGATCCTATACGCCCATGTGTTTTATAAATATTTGGATTTGAATTTGTCATAATTGCTATTTATGTTGATAACTTGAATATTATTGAAACTTTTAAAAAGTTGTTAAAAGCAATGGATTATTTAAAGAAAGAATTTGAGATGAAATACTTTGAAAAAATAAAATTTTGTTAGGGTTTTTAAATTGAAAAATTGATTGGTGAAATTTTATCCATTAATCAGATTATAAAGTAAAAGTGTTAAAATGATTTTATATGTACAGAGCACATTCATTGAGTTTACCAATAGTTGTAAGGTCACTAGATGTGAAAAAAGATCATTTCCAACTTGGTGAAAATAATGAAAAACTTCTTGGTCTTGAAGTAATGCATCTTAGTGCAATCAGAGCACTAATATATCTTGCTAGTGATACACAACTTGATGTATTATTTGCTATAATTTTTAGTAAGATATATTTTCTTTCCAACTCAAAAACATTAGAATGAAATTAAACATATATTTTGATATCTTTGAGGAACAATAGACACGTGCTTATATTATTCAAATATATTCAATTTAGATTTAATTGGTTATGTACATACAAAATATTTGTCTGATCCACACAAAACTCGATCTCTGACCAGTTACTTATTCACATGTAGAGGTACGATTATTTCATAGTATTTTGTAACACACTATAGTTGCTATTTCTTCTAACTATGCAAAAATTTTAACAATTCATGAGATAAGTCGTAAATATGTCTTGTTAAGCTCTATATCTTAATATATTTGAGAAACGTGTGATATGTTAATCAAGAAGGAAATTTCAACAACGTAAGACAATACCGCTTGCATATTCTAGTTAAAGGAAGGATATATTAAATGCGATAGTACAAAACATATTTTGTCAAAATTCTTTTTCACTCATAATCTCCAAGCCAAGGGTTATATTAGTGTTCAACAAATTCACTGAAGTGACAATCTAGTAGATTTATTCACCAAAGCTTTTTTTACTACAACATTTGAAAAGTTAATACAAGATATATTAAATGCGATAGTACAAAACATATTTTGTCAAAATTCTTTTTCACTCATAATCTCCAAGCCAAGGGTGATATTAGTGTTCAACAAATTCATTGAAGTGACAATCTAGTAGATTTATTCACCAAAGCTCTTTTTACTACAACATTTGAAAAGTTAATACAAAAGATTGTAATACATTATTTTAAAGATCTTAAATAATACAATCATTAGGGGAATAAAATACGTATTGTATTTTTTTCCTACATCAAGGTATTTTGCATTGGG